TGATAGAATTCTTAGTCTACCTTGCATCATTCCAATTACACCAGGGACAAAAACATGTGCTCCCCTAAGCACAGCTGCACCACACTGAGGGTCCACAATAACCTCAGACTCATATCGATTAAGTTCAACATTTCGGCTCCAGCTTCCAAATCCCACAACTTCAGGCAGAATAGGATTATGCCAAATGGGAGGCACTGAAGAATCCAAACCAGCTGATGTTCGATTAAGAGCAAGCTGAACAATATAACATTGATTTAGAGTCTGCATGGTTCAAAGATAAAATTGGTTTCCAACTAAACTCAGCAACTCACCTCTTCCAATTGTTTCTTTAATGTTTCAATAAAACGCATAGGAGAAGTAACCAAAGAATTTACACAGAATGTAGTAAATTTAGGGGCTCTTCTACGCCAAACTAAAATATTATGAAAATCGCCCAGAGAGGACGTCCCTCGTTGGTCTGAGGGAACTGGCAACATTATGCCAGTTTTAATCAAAGATATTTGAGTAGGGCAGTTATCGAGAGGTAAGCCTCTCCTGAAATAAGAGACAACGTGTAAGAAAACAGTCCAAGTTGACGGTCGGTTTCAAGAGAAACCAGTACTTACATCACTGCCATTGGGCTCCTGAACTTTCATCACATCAGGAAGATCTGGAGGTGAAGAATACTGAGTAAGATCAAGGGACTCAAATTGACCACTCTCGTCTCGAACTGCAAGGTTAACTTGTGCAGGGCTTTGAGCCTTTGCAGAATTGGCAGTGATACCACAATCCAATAGGCTCTTGCCTTCCTCCATTAGCTCATTATCTTTACTATAAAGCTGCTGATTTTCGGGAGCAAATTTCGTGATGCCTTGGATCATCTTCTTTAACTGCAGGACGGTGGTGCTTTCTTTTGCATCAGTGAAGATTGTCAATTTCTTCCTTCTTATCATAAGATAGACATCCATCTTGAAATTAGTTACAAATACTGGCTATGCATGTGTGGTCGAGGCTGCTCTGTCCTGTGAAAACTTAAGTATTTAGGAATAGTATTCCATTTTCTTCTCGCAAGAATATACAAAACTGCTTCGTCGGCGTCCGCTTAACCTGTACTTACACAGCAACAGACGGTAAATATTCAGCTCGACGTCTCAGCAAACTTTGGTCAGTCTAAAAATAAGAGAGAAATTAAGTATGATCAAACGTACTGACGTAAAGCAGCACGAATACTACAATACGAAATAAAAATAAACCTAAATTAAAATCAAGGCAAGACACCTGCCACAGCAACTGCAACTGCAACACCGTCCCGTCCCCGACTCCCCACCCCACCATCCCCCTCTCCTATTCTGCTCCTACAGCACAACATCTACCTGTATGCGAGGCTATTTCGCATTTCGAGGATGAGAATATATACATCTCACCCAGTCTTAATATAAAATAATATTACATTATCCTACTGGTATATAGTAGATCTCACCTACCACCACGGCTCCGTGATTAGGAAAACACTTACTATGGTGGTATGGTCACTAGTCACTGACACTGTCGGTTCATCAGAGGCCCCCGAGGCCTCACCCAAGCGTCCTCCCGCTGACGATGGGGCTTCCCTACAACAATTAAGAATGGGCTCTTGACCCCGGTGGAAGGTGTTACGGTGGCGTAAGGACAGATGAAACGACGTGAATGCAATCGCTTGATGGGAGCGGAAACGAGTGTTTTGCTGCTTCCCTTCAAATACAATCTCAATACTTTTTTTTTTTTTTTTGCCGCTCTCCGCTTGCCGCTACATTCATTCTGTGGTGTCTTCGTAATGTCCCCATAATTTTTTGATTGAATTATGAAAGCCACCATCCTTTCAAAGGGAGGGAGGGGGGATACGTTCTAAATGTAAAAATGGAATAAAATTGTGGATTAATATAGTTCTTGGTCTGGAGTTCTTTTTACTCATATTATCCGTCAGAGGCATTGCTTCTTAAACCTCCACCCCCCCCCCCCCCCATAACC